ATGGGATGTCAAAACAAGATAATAAAAAGCTAAATTAGATGGTCATACTCAATATGTCTCCTCAGTCTGTTTCTCTCCTGATGGAAATACATTAGCTTCTGGTAGTTATGATAAGTCTATCCGCCTATGGGATGTCAAAACAGGATAATAAAAAGTGAAATTAAATGGTCATATTGATGGTGTCAACTCAATCTGTTTCTCTCCTGATGGATATACATTAGCTTCTGGTAGTAATGATCGGTCTATCCGTATATGGGATGTCAAAACAGGATAATACAAAGCAAAATTTGATGGTCATACTTGTACTGTATACTCAGTCTGTTTTTCTCCTGATGGATATTTATTAGCTTCTGGTAGTTATGATAAGTCCATCCATCTATGGGATGTCAAAAAAGGTTATTAAAAAGCCAAATTAGATGGTCATACTCATAATGTCAACTCAGTCTGTTTCTCTCCTGATGGAAATACATTAGCTTCTGGTAGTGATGATAAGTCTATCCGTCTATGGGATGTTAAAACAGGATAATAAAAAGCCATATTATAGGGTCATAGTAATGATGTCAGCTCAGTTTGTTTCTCTCCTGATGGAATTACATTAGCTTCTGGTAGTTATGATAAGTCTATCCGCCTATGGGATGTCAATAATGGAAAAGAACTTTTATTTGATGATAAAGAAATTCTTACCTAGTTTTAAATACCACTTTAGAATAGGTCATTATTTCCAAATTGTATTTGTCATTTATTATTATTTAGTTGAGCCAGATCGTACAATACTTAGGATTAGTTAGAATCCTTTATTAGAAGCATCAGGTACACTGATATTGTAAGGAGAATTTATAAACCATTAAGGTAAAGATTTGAAACCTTTATTTAAGTCTAAAGGAAGTTGCTTTTTAGAAGACTAATAGAAAAATTGATTTTGATTATTATCAAGCAACAATTATAATTTGAAACAATCTAATATTTTTTTTAATTCTGTCTTTAATTGTTTCACTCTTAATCTTCACTTCCAAAGCTAGGTTAGATCTTATTCATTAAAACCTTTTTAAATTTCAGTATATATACACCACATTTATTTTAATATTATTAAAATATACGATCAGTTTCGTGTAGGGATTAGTTATATAAATATCATAAAAAATACTATCAATTAGTATATTTATAGAGATTAAATTATAAATGATACTACTTTAAATTTATAATCTAAACAGAGAACAGTAAATGAAGCGTTTAAAATTAAGATCGATGTAATTACTTAAAGAAAAATAATTTTATACTACATTCTTTGAAATCTTTTAGGATATAATATGATAGATTTACTTAATTTAATATTTTTTAGATTAGGGATTGATATGAAAAATAATAAATTAATAATTTTGTAAGATTAAGTTTTAATTCATAAATATTAAAAGATGTATTTTATCAAAAAAAGATTATAAAAATACTTCAAGAATTCAAAAATAAACTTAATTTATAAATAATCTAACCTATCACAAGGTTAAAACATTAAGATTGAATGATTTTTGCAATTACTCTACTCTATTCTTGCTAATATCTTCATATTCTCTTCAATTTATATGAAAAGTATTAGATATTATAAAAGACTGAAAAGATACATTAATCATCAAAAAATATTATATCTCGTAACAGGATTAAGATTTAAGGAGATACTTATTATATCTTCCCTAGCACCATCTAAGAATCTTAATTACTGAGTGCATTTTTACATACATCAAATAATAAACATTATAAATCACTGATATTAGGTATAATCAATGTTAACTTCAAGAGGATTTTCACGAAATCAATAAATATTTAAACCAAAAATAATATCCCTTACTCATTGACTGAGTAAATTTTCCAATTAAATTAATAAATAATCCATTATTTATAATAAATCATTTAAAAGCAAATCTATAGAAGAAAAAGAAGAATAAAAGTAAACCATAAATATCCATAGTATCTAATATGAAAGTAATTCAAATTTATCATCTCTAAAATATGATTAACCCATCAATTAAATTAATTGGATAATAAATCTATAGAGCTAACTAAATAAATAAAAAAAAAGAAAATCAAATCATTAATTATGCAAAGATGATCAATAAGAGGAATCAATCTATCAATTATTGAAATCAAATAATGTATAAATTACAATATTCACAAAAAAAATTAAGAATTAATATATTAATAACAAAATCAAGCAACACTGATGTTGAAATGAATTATCAATAGCATATATTACCTCTATTTTAATCAATTCCAAATTTACACAATGTCTGAACTTCAAATTTCCTAAAATGTTAAAATATGTTTATCGAAATGAAGGATTTTGACAAATTATGAATTATTCTACAATTATTTAGTTGAAAGTAGCTCAAAGAATGAAATGGAATTTATAAAGGTGGTTGTGAGACCATTATATTCTCTAATTTGTATTTAGAAAGAGAGAATTTAAATTTTGTATATATTTCAGATGAATCCATTTTGGAATGAGACAAATTGTACTAAAAAGGAATTTAAGAATTAGAAAATAAGAATAACAACAAAAACATGAGTCTAAATAATAGTATTCATAATTTTCATTTATTCATATTTCAATAAATATTTTAAATGATTCATATGAAGGCACTATTTTAATAAAAGATTTGATCATAATTATAATACCTTTATCCTATTATATTTCTAATATAAGTTATAATAATATAATTCTTATTTAATTGTAAATCATAATTATTTAATATTTTCTAAGTTAATTTTGACTTTAACAATATCAATAATGTTTTTTTCATGATTGAAGAATTGCTACAATATTTCATCATCGTTAACATATTCCTCTGTAGTTGCAAGGAGTTTAAATGTATTACTTTTACAAGAATCATCAGGACCTATATATTTACATTCATTAAATTGAATCCCAATGTCTTCATTCTCTTATATTTCTGTTCTATTTCTATCAATATTTGGAATAAAAAAGCCATATGAGTGTCAGTTTATGCCATTAGACTCTTAATATTATTCTTGCCGTATTTCCAACTTATCTTGAGGGATGTGCCTAGATAGGTTAAATAACCGTCCTCAACTTTAGATTTTTGATTCGAATTAAAATAATTAAAATCGATTTGTAAATTAAACTAAGTAAAATGATCAACAGCTCTTCCAAATAAATTACTACTCGCTTCTCCAAAAAAACTTCCAATTGGACCACCTGCAGCACCTAATTCAATTCCACCTTACCTAATCCTATGGCACTTCCAGTATTCACTGCAATCAAAATTATATACTTTCTCACTTTAAGACAAGCAATCAGACAAGATCACTCCTCCAACTGAAATGCTTGTCATAAGTGCAGCTAATCCAATTCCAACAGTATGAAATTGCTCTTCCAAAAGATTTTATTGTCTATTTA